CTGAGGAGTAAACTCGTTAGTATCATTCAGGCTCGATTGGATTCCAAGGAACGCTGTGGCTACGGAAATGATCTGCTTGGCTTGATGTTAGAAGCTTGTCACAAGCCAGAGGGGCAGATCCTGAGCAGGGACGCAATTGTAGACGAGTGCAAGACGTTTTTCTTCGCAGGACAGGAGACCACCGCCCAGTTCGTGACATGGACTATGTTCTTGCTGAGCACAAACCAGAACTGGCAGGAGAAGCTCCGGGAGGAGGTGCAGAGAGAGTGTGGGATGCAAACCCCAGATGCAGATATGCTCAGCAAGCTGAAACTAGTAAATTCACAGCCCGTTTTCTCCATGTAAGCTCGATAAAGCTGTGGTGTGACAGTGTGTCGATCCTGTGCAGGTCACCATGGTTCTCCTGGAAACCTTGAGGCTCTACGGCCCAATCGACGTGCTAAGGAGAAAGGCCGGTAAAGATATGACCTTGGGGAAGATCAACATCCCCAAAGACACCGAGATAGTGATGCCGATCACGCTGACTCATAGGAACAAGGAGATCTGGGGACCTGATGCTGATGAGTTCAACCCACTCAGATTCGAGCACGGGGTCACCAAAGCTGCCACACACCCCACTGCGCTGCTCGCGTTCGCGGTAGGGCCGCGGGCTTGCATCGGCCAAAACTTCGCCATGTTGGAAGCCAAGACTGTGATCACAATGATACTGCAGAGGTTCTCCTTTTCTCTTTCGTCCGAGTACAAGCACGCTCCTCGACGCTCGATCACTGTACAACCTCAGTACGGCCTTCCTATCGTTCTCAAGCCGCTGCGAGCCGGAACCTGAATTGGTTGATACTGTAGTTCTATATCTATTTCATCGTGCTTATTATTACCGTGTAAGCGTATGGCCTGCATGGTCATGGAGCTGTATCTAAATGTCGAGGAAACCACCGGATAATTTGCACTGGATTTCGTAGACTGTGACTTGGATCCAACTATAAACCTATAAATAAAATTATTGGTGGTTCTTTACGTTGCGAAAAACCTGTTAAAGCAAAATATTCCAAAATACTAACTTGATATCCAAATGTAAATATCAACCAGCACAGTATAAACAATAAAACAAATAATCAATCATACAGTCAGACCAAATCTTTTAACGTGGAAAACCCAATGTGGGAAAAGCCACGGGACCTACTCCAACTCAAAGTTTCACTATCAATAATAATGATAATAAGTTTACTGTAGATCTTCTCTAGAATAACTAGAGGATGAATCTTTTCAAAAAGAGTTATAGGTCTCACAAAATAGATATCACAGAAAAATACCTTAGATAGGATAAACTAAAGATCAACACCGTTAGAATTGTAGAGTTTACTGTAAGGATTCTCCACATAAAATTTGGACCAAAACTGATAACGTTTGGCTACCGATCGTCAAGTAGAAAACTCAGAAACCTTACTTTCTCTCTTTATTTCTCTCTCCTCTTTTCTCGCACGCCGCCGCACACGTTCACTCCTTCACTCACGCTGCACGCTGCAATCTATGTTCACCCTACTGACCCACTTTTGCCCTTTCTCTCTAATTTGGGCTTATGGTCCAAATTTGTCTAAGCCCATATATGGGTTGGACTCAACACTTTACTGGTTGCTGATCATTGTTTCTTGTATTTTTATTGTTATCAATTTAATTGATTTTACCTAATTCGTACGTATTCTTGTGTTCATCCATAAAGATATTATAGTTCTTTACGAACTTACAAATGATGAGATAAGTTAAGGAAGTGTTTAATTCAGATCTCACGAGTAGACATTTCAACAAATATTTTATAAATAATATAAATTATAAAAATAGATTTTGTAAACTATGAATGGTCACACAAGAAAAGATCTGCTATGACCAAAAATCCTCATAAATACTCACAAGACACTACTTCAGAATAAGACAACAAACCAGTCTTAGACAATACTCACAAGTCACTGTGTAGCTTTAGGGTGTATGCTAACACTCCATATCATTTTACGAAACTAGAGAAACACCTAAATTGGTTGGCTATCTAGGTAATTTAATTATGGGCGATTTTATCTCTGCATGATGATTATACATAACTTACATTTACATAATTAAAATAATCATGAAAATTAATTAAAATGAGGTTATTAAAATAGGGTGACGGCTTGCAGCAGAAATCTTCTTATGGCCACAAGAAACTTGACTCCGAGCAACACAGTTGTGTGTCCACATTTTGTTAGTGCAAATGACGGACAGAAGGATCCAAATCAACATAACCAGTGGACGAAGCAAAGTGGGTCATTGTGTGGGAGAGATCGTTTTGTTGTAGATAAAACCGGAAGAATCGGAGGTCATTCGCAAGAGAAAGCGCACACAGCTTCGCCTTTCCGAGCTCTCCCTTCTGCAAGACCGATGAGTAATCTCGGTCTCGTACTGGGTGCTCTGTTGGTGGTTCTGATCTGGTACTTATGGAAGGGGTTGAAGTATCTGACATGGAGGCCATACGTGATCACAGAAGCTTTCAGGAAGCAAGGGGTGAGAGGCCCTGCTTACAGGTTCTGGTCGGGATCCCTTGGGGAGATCAGAAGCATAAGCAAAGCCGCCATGGAGCAGACCTTGGACGTAAAGTCACATGATATCTCCACGAGAGTTCAGCCTTTTTACCGCAAGTGGACGTCGGAATACGGTCAGACTCCATCTTCCCTTCCTCAGATCCTGCAAAACTTATTTGTCGGTTCCACTA